CAAGTGGTGTCGATGGACTGCTTTGAGAAGGGTGAGAAAGTCCTAAGACATGAGCCAGCTATGTGAGTGCCTTAGGATCTGGACCCTTAATCTTTTTGAACCTAATCTCCCTACTCCCCATCAGCGCCAAGAGCAGGAGAAGTTCTTAGGTCCAATAAACTGCCATTAATGATAATGTGCAGCGTTTTGTGTTGTCCCTCCACCCCCGCCCCACGAGGTTTGAACCCAATTTTTTTCTTGTTGGAGAAAAAAAGTTCAGCTCTATTATGTTTCTGCCATTTATACGTCTGAGTCCCCCAAAGAAATCAGACAAAAAGATACTCATTGCTACCAAGTCGAGTCCGACTCACAGCACCCTTCTTGACCAGGGCGGACTTCCCCTGTACATTTCTGAAGCTTTACAGGAATAGAAAGCCTCATTTTTCACTCTTGGAGCAGATGGTGGTTTTGAATTCCTTACCTTGTAATTAGCAGCCCAAAGTGTAACCCACTAGGCCACCAGGTAGTTTTTTCATGTGCACAGAATAATACAGTATATCCCGAGTTACTGTCACACTTCCAGACAATGCCTACTTGCCCTTAAATGTTACGCAATTTTTGCCCTCACTTTGAAATGATTAAACCAACTCCTACTCACAAAAGATTCATCATCACAGTCACTGTCACCTGCTACACAAACTCAATGCCATCAAGTGGCTTCCAACTCATAGGCACCCTATATAGGGCAGAAGAGAACTGCCCCATGGGTTTCTGACACTATAAACCTTTATGGGAGCAGACAGCCTCATCTTCTTCCCTCCCATTGGCTGCTGGGTTAGAACTGCTGGTCGTGCAGTTAGTGGTCCAAAAAAGGAGCCCAGTACCACCAACACTTACAGCTTTTAAATCACTGAAAAGGCTCTTGCTCTGCAGTGAGACTAAATAAGAACCATATGTACCTGGTCCAATGGACCTACCAATTCGGTTTGAAGACACACTAAGAAGGAGCTGTATTGACCCAGGGACTGTCTGTAGAAGCAGAGCCTCGTTTTAAGCTATTTTTGTTCTTAAATCTCTAAAAGAAGCTTTCTATAAAACAAAAACAGTATTTACTGAGTGCTTTCCCACAGACCACAAAATATGCTGTGAGGGCAGAATTGACATTAAGATCCCTTTCCTCATGAAGTTTACAGCAAAGGAGTGAAGAAAAACAATTAACAAATAATTTATGAGTAATAAATCAGCTCTAATTATAGTATGCTGCATAGAGAAAAGATATGCAGGGTGCTAAGAGGAAATACAACAGGGCCAGGGATGGCTTCCTGTAAGGACTAGATCCACCAAGGAAGGTCTCATGAAAAAGGCTCATTAAAAATGCTAGAATTGCAGGAGCCCCTGGTGGCATAGTGGTTATGAATTCAGCTGCAGTCCAAAAATGCTAGAATTGCTCAGCTATCAATGTGGTTACTCTGACTACTCATTCAGATCATGTGCCTAATGAATACTGCTTGAGTAGAACAGTTTATTTCCTAGTGAACACCGTTTACAACCTAATCACAACCTATAGCACAGCAACATTCTAAGAGAACATCCTTCAGCCTTCAGGCACTGTTACCTGGAACAAGAGAGCAGGCCTGCAGTTGTCTGATGATGTGGCTCAGCTCCCCCTGAAGATTAGCTCCACTGGAATTCTTGAGGGCCTCCAACATGTTCTCAGCTTCAACTGTGCCATCACCCTCGGCATCAAACTGCGCAAAGGCCTACGAGATAAAGAGATGCAAGATCATCAGGTCTTGTACTAAAAAGGATCAAGCTTGTTCCAAATCTTGAATTCTCAAGACTAGTAGCAAATTACACACACACACACACACACACACACACACACACACGCATTTGTGTATGAGAAAGTACAATAAGGCTTCTATATATTAAAGTATGTTACATGTTACATGTGAGGGAGGGGGCTTCAAAACACTGGTGGAAAAAATGCATTATCTTGTCATTTCATTTTTCCACAAATTTTTTGAAGGCCTTTCATACTGTACCATTATATGTCTGGCAGTGCAATTGCTTTGAATACAAGAGTCATGATACATGTTGTTTGTGGTAAATTACTTTACTGGCTACATCCAGTTACATCCATCTCTCTCTTATAACCTTAGGGGACAAACCTCAGATATATATGTGGTCAGATGCTGCCCGAATGGACACTATGTGGCACATGATGGTAGATATGTATGTTTGTATACATACTTATTTATCTTAGGTTGAGGGAGAAGGGCCCCCACATATCACACACAAAGAATAAGTGAATTCAGGATAGTAACTCAATATGCTTTGCAGGATGCATGCATATTTCTAAGTTTATACATGCACACAATTTTATTATATTATCTCTCCTCCAAAAGAGTGGCCCCCCCCTCAAAAAAAATAATTCCAGAAGAATTTTGTCACTGCAAGGTTTTTCATGGAAAATATAAAGCAAGCATTAGTAAATGAATGCATTTGGCTCGGAGAAGCCCCACAAGGTTTGGCTGGACTTTTTCATTTCATCACTCCTCAGACACTTGGTTTATCGACTTCACTGCCCGTTCCCTGTTATTACTAACCCTTACCCCGAACTTGTTCCTTGTCTACGCTGGGCTACCTGGGGAGCAGAGAAAAGCAAGGGATTTGGATTGAATGACCTCTGTCACTGACTGTGACCTTCCTTCTCCATGTTTCTTTACCTCTGTAAGCATCTTGATCTGAAAGAGGGAGCAAATCTTAGTCCGCTCACAGGTGACATTTGAGCAGAGCCAAACTGAGTGAAAGAACATCAGCAATGCAAAGTGAGTGCTTCCTTTCTCCTTCTGGCTCCAGTCTCCTTGACAACAGAGGTCAATATTGTTTATTATTACATGCGCAACCCTGATCTATAAGTGGATGTGTGACAGACCTGCAGCTTAACAGATATGGTAGGGAGATTACTCACGAATATGTGTGTGTGTGTGTGTGTATGTAAGTTTGACAGGATATTTCTACATGTCTATTTGCCTATACTACAAATAGATCCATGAATGTAGTGGAGCTTACAGGGGGCACAGTGATGCAAACTCTTTATAGCAAACTCTTTATAACCAAAGACCTGGAGAGAATGAGTCTCAGAGCTGGGAGCTCATGAAGCGCTTAGGTCAACTGGCACGACAAAGTCCCAAAGGCAGTGCTCTACATCCTACTTTGTTGAGTAGTGACGGATTTCAGCTCATGAGCAGCATCTAAGGTGCAACTACTGGTCTCTTCCTGTTCAGAGGAAAGAACAGCAGAGAAAACAGAAGATAAATGGAAACAATTAGTCCAATGAATTAATGGACCATGCAAACATCAGATTCTAAGACCCTGAGGCTTTGAAAAGGATCACACTAGAAGGTCCTGGAAAAAGTGGAGGAAAAATATGAATCTAAACACAAAATCATAAAAAAGACCAGGCTTACTGGTCAGATAGACTGACGGAACCCCTGAAACTATGGCCCTTTATCCACCCTGCACTTCTGGAAATGAGTTCCCCCATGGCTCCATTTTCAGCCAAACAGTAACTAGGTCTACAAGGGAACAATAAAACAAGTGAGGAACACACTCCAGCATAATCAACCATTTGAGATCAAAAGGGCAGCATTTACTGAAGGATAGAGTTCAGAAGGGTAGAGAGAGGAGGAAGTGGGATAGTGATGTTACATTGTGGAGATTACAATTAATGACATTGCAAAATGCATATAAATCGTGGCAAAGAACACTAATTTGCTCTATCAACATCACCTAATTCACAAAAATTAATGAATTACTTTAGTAAAGTATATAATTCATTGATTTTACTATATTCAGAGTTGAGTAACCATCACCACTAATTTAAAAAAAAAAAAAAAGCAACCAGTAAAAGCCAGGCACTATTACTAATCACCTCCCCCCAAAAAACCTCAGAAAACATTTTTAAGGTTCTTGAAAATTAGAAACATATTCCTACATGAAAACCTCAAAGAAGAGTTAGAAGACAAGTTGATTAAACTGCCCAGAAAGTACAAGAAAAAGATAAAACGGTGGGCACAGGAGGAAAGAGAAGGAACAGCAGGAGACCTGTCTTGTAGGCCCAACAGCCAAATAACAGGAATTCCAGCCAGCAGAAACACAAAAAAATGGGAGCTCACAAATATTACCATTATTAGGATAATCCCCGCTAACTGAAGGACATGAACTTAAGACTGAAAGGGTTGAACACCCTGCACAAGGGATCGAAAGCACATCACAATGAAATTTCAAACACTCAGGGAACAGAGAAGTTCCCTTCCAGAGAGAAGGAAGTGCTTTCATGTAAAAGGTCACTAGAATCAGAGTGGGACCAATCCCAGGATCCCACATTTATCTGGCCTATTGCTGCTTTTGCAGGGGGAAAAACTGCCCTCCTGGCAACAAAACACATTTGCACTCTAGCCCCCACTCCATGATGACGTATAGGCATCTGCTTTTGCAGCCCCCCCAGAACATGCCGGGAAACAGCAGACTAGACTGTAGCAGTTGTATTGAAAGCAGAAGGCAGTGGAATCAGTGTCATCGACATGCTGAGAGCACGCCTGTCTCCGAAGTCTGAACTCACCCCAAACACCATCAGCTGTGCGAGTGCAAGGACAAGAGTTTCACACATTCAAGGTTCTAAAACACACACACACTCTCTCTCTCTCTCACTCTCTCTACTTAATGTCCTCCTTTCAGAAAGCTCCTGGAGGAGATGGCCCACCAGAATGAAGGAAAGAAGCTTGGTCTTAACCAAAAGCAAAAATGAATCCCAGGATGATGGCAATTCCCAGACGACACCTGTGAAGCCCTGCTGAATAACAAACGTAAAGCAGGTTGGAGGTTTGGGGAAATAGTTCTCTGTGGGGATGAAATAGGTAGATTGCTCACGTGTTTGAACACAGTGAATGTTTGTGTTTGAGGAGATAACTGGGGAAGAATGTGAGGCCGACGTTAATGATAAAGCATAGAAAATGAAGCAAAACAAAAAACAACTGAAGCCTCACCTTCCGTAGTGGAAATTAAATGGAAAAAGTCTAGAACGGAACAACCACAAAGTAGTGATTTAAGTGTGCTATTGGTAAAGACCCCAAGAATCACTAAAAAGCTGAGACATGTCTGGTCTTGGGGAGTGGCTGCTCACTGGGGTAGGAGAGCCGAGAACCACAGCTTTTTGGGTATAAGTTTCACGATTCTATTACTATGTACATTTCTAACTGATAACAAATACATAACTCTTTATAAATAGGACTTCAAGTATGAAGGGAGCTAGATGAGTGATTTGAACTTTTTTTTAATGCTTTTCTCCCCTGTAAATGAAATTCTAGACACACTGAACATGCCAGCTATACGGAGACATTTCTAGGGCAATTGGCTAAATGCAAAGATGGACTGGGCATTACAGAAATATTTTTGACAGAGAAAGGTCAAGATCATTAACTGAAAAAAAAGTGGGTTACAAAAGAATATTAGCGAATGACCTCATATTAATGTAAAAAATGCACAGATATATGCTTTCCCACTTGGATACAAAATATATATAGAACTAGGGGGCTTCAAAAAAGCATCTTTTAATCCATTTTCCACCAAATTTTTGAAGCCCCCTCATTAATTTTTTAGAGTAGGAAAAATGTTAAAAGAATCTGAAAATGTCAATAACTGAAGCATGTTTTATATTTTATTTTTGCTTATCTGTATCTATCTTGTGAGCAACACATATTTTTTTTATTTAAGAAATTTAAAGTCCAACCTTAATACGAAGTGTGGAGATGTGGGTATGAAGGGAGACAACACAGAAACCAGCCCTCTCAGGCTGCCCAGGTCCCCACTGTGACCACCACCCACACACAGTGCCAGGTGGCAGGAGAGTCATCGCTTCACATGACTCAGGGCTGGGCTGTGACCCATTCAACTGGGAGTGGCATGACTTGGAAAGCTCTGAATTATTAACCTAAGCACTGAACAAATTCCAGACACTGCAAAACATTTGCTATATGGGATACCATTGAAAGGATCCATGGTAGCACAGTGGCTAAAGCACCTGATTGCTAACCCTTTCGGTCTGTGGTTCAAACCCACCAGCCACTCTGAGGAAGAAAGATGAAAGTCGGCTTCAGTAAAGAAACCCTATGGGGCAGTTCTGCTCTGTCCTACAGAATCATCATGAGTAACAGTAAACAGTAAAAGGTCTGCTTATTATCATTGATTCCTTCTCACAGTAATTGGTTGTTAGGTGCCATGGAGTCAGTGCTGACTCACAGCGACCCTATGCACAACAGAAGGAAACAGTGCCTGGTCCTGCACCTCCTCACAGTCGTGATGTTTGCGCTCGCAGTTGCAACCACTGTGTCAATCCATCTTGTCAAAGGCCTTCCTCTTTTTTGCTGTCCCTCTACTTGACCTGTTTTCCTCCAGGACTGGTCTCTCCTCATAACATGTTCAAAGTATTTGAGACCAAGTCTTGCCATCTTTGCCCCTAAGGAGCAGCATCCTGGAGGCTGTACTTCTTCCAAGACAGATTTGGCAACCCATGGTAGCTTCAATATTCTTCACCAGCACCATAGTTCAAATGCATTCTTCTTTAGTCTTTCTTATTCAGTGATGAGGTGATTGAAATACTATTGCGTGCTCAGGCACACCTTAGTTCTCAAAGTAATCTCCTTGTTTTACAACACAAAAAGGTCTCCTGCAGCAGATGTACCCAATGCAATGTGTC